TAGAAGAAACTTCCCTGATGCTTCTGTGAAGGGGAGGAGGAAAGTCACCTCTTGGAGATACACTAGAACACTGTTCTTAAGGCCTGCCCTCAGGAGAAACTAGTTAACCAGAGCCTAACCTGCTGCAGTATTATTAAAGCCTAACTGACCCAGGGGAAGAGAAATACTCAGCTCCACTCCACACCAGCCTTCCCATCCCACCTACTACTGGTGAGAGACTGAGCAACACTTGTGAAATTCACACGGCAGAAACACAGAGATCACCAACAGACTGAGACTTAATCTTAGGACAAGACAAACTTCCCTTCACAGAGTTGGGTCTATTTCCAGCACCTCTTTTAGTACAGTACATCACGTCCAGCTGTCAAGAAAAATTTTACAAGGCACACTAAAAGGCAAACACACAGCTTGAAAAGACAAAGCAACCATTATAACCTGATGTAACAGGGACATTGGAGTTATCAGACCAGGAATTTAAAACAGTGAGTTAGACAGACAGCATGCAAGAACAGATGGACCGTGTCACAGAGAGATGAAAGTTCAAAGCAAGAATAAAAAGAAATACTAGAGGCAAAAACCATTGTGACGGACGTGAAGAGAGTATTCAGCAGGCTTGTTTGTAGACTGGATGCTGCTGAAGAAAGGGTATTTGAGCTTGAGTATGTCCCAACAGAGATTCATAAAACTGATTAATAGAACAGAACAAAGAGACCAGAAACAGACCTGCGTAATACAATGAACTGAATTTTAACAAAGGGGCCACAGCAATGCCATCAAAAAAAGATAGTCTTTTAAACAAACGATACTGAGCAACTCGACAGTCACGTGCAAAACACTGATTTAGACACAAACCTCACATCCTTCACAAAGTCAACTGAAAACAAATCACAAATGTAAATATAAAATGTGAAACTATAAAAGTTCCAGGAGACAGTGGAGGATAAATTTGAGGTGATCCTGAATTTGGTAATGCAACTTGAGATAAAAGTACCCAAGTCACTATCCATTAAAGAATGAATTGCTAGAATAAGCTGTATAGTGCTAAAAAAAATCACACTCCTACAGAAGACACAAGCATAAAAGATCAAGTCTTGTACTTGGAGAAAATATTTTAAAAAGACTTATAAAGACTGTTATCCAAATGTACAAAGAACTCTAATAAGACCTTGTTTAAAATGGTCCAAAGCCTTTAACAAGACCCCTTAAATATATGGTATACAGAAAGCAAGTACACATATGAGAAAATACTTTACATCCTATTTTATTAAAAAAGTACAAACTAGAACAACAGTGAGATACCATCCTCTACCCACTGGAATGGCCAGCACACAGAACATGGACATCACAAGATGCGAGCAAGGCTACTGAGTAGGAGTCGGTCCTGTCAATAGGCATGCAAAATGGTAAAATCTATCTGGAAGACAGTTGTGTGGTTAAGTTAAAAACTAAACATTCTTTTATGCCATTTGATCCAGAACCTGCTCCTGAGTATTTACTCAAAGGAGTAAAAATGTGTAGCCACACAAAAACCTGCACATGGATATTTACAGTAGTTTTATTCATCACAAAACTTGGAAGCAATCAAGATTTTCTTCTACAGCTGGATGGATAAACAAATTGTAGTGTATCCATACAGTGCAATATTATTCAACACTAAAAAGAAATGAACCAGCAAGCCATCAAAAGACACAGAGAAACCTTACATGCATATTGCTAAGGAATGGGCTAATCTGAAAATGCTAATGACTAGAAATCCAGTGACAGATTCATTGATTGTGACGGGCTCATTCTGGTGGGCAGCTGATAATGCGAGAGGCTATGTCTATCTGAGGAAGGTGCGTATAGGAAAGCTGAATCTTCTTCTCAAGTTTACTATGAACTTAGAAATGTTCCACAAAAGTCTTCAGAAGAAAAAAAGAGCAGGGCACATTATGATCCAAGCAAGAGCTAGCAAAGGGTACCAGGAGCTCAGAGGATGGCGAGTGTTACAGTTTAGGTCTACACTGCCCTCCACATGGCAGTTGGAAGGTGACTGGATCATGGGGCTGTCACTGGCTTGCTGTCGGGGAACAGGATCCAGGTGGAGCAAGTCTCTGGTGGTGTGACTTGGGGATACATCTTCCTCTCTACGTCTTCCCTCTCCTCTCTACCTCCTGGCTGTTGTGGCTAAGTAAGTGGTCCTCCTCCATCCAGGCTCTTCCACCATGCCTTCCCAGGCTGGATCCAGCTGACCGTGGGCCAAACAGATCTCCCTCCTGTAATCCGTATGTGTTGGTACCATGTCCCAGTGATGGCAAAGTGGCTAAGACAGTGAGGCCTGAGGTCAGACAAGGCCGAGAGGCAGAGGCCTCATGATGAAGAACAGTGCTGCTCCCTGGTGGGTACACACTGGAATCACGGGAGGCAGCAGTGACTTCTCTTGAACACCCACTGGCACTTCTGCTATTTGGTACTTACGTTTGAATATTAGTGTTTCTCAAATTTCGCTGTCATAGGCAAACATGGTTGAAAGCCACTGCTGTAAAACACTGTAGTCTGGTATCAAAGGGTGGTGCTCTATTCCAAATACTCGATGTGGCAAGCATGCCCATTACCCGAAAATGCTTTTCCTCACTCCTGATGACTTCATGAGCTGGACTGTTTTTGGTCTCTTCCTATCACTTTCTTTCCTTCCCTCTGATTGACTATTTTGGAAGGCTTGTGCCAGGGAGGACTCCGTTAGAGTCTGACTAGGATTTTCTTCGTGACCTAGAGTTTTTGTGTTTCCTCCGTCTGCATCTCTCACTCAGTGGTACACAATGCACATTCAGCCTTGCTTCCCTGTGGTAAACAGACTGCCTCTTGGACATACGGTTTCTCTGTGTGGTTCCTCATTTGCCCAGCGTCTCTGAATCCTGACATCAGCTCCTGCATCTTATGCTCAGTATAGAAAGGTGCTCTGTCTTTGCACCAGACAGGCTGTACTCTTTGCCTCTGAAAAGCACCCACTGAGTTTTCGCAGTCTGCTGCTCTGAGGTCTGCTTTCTGTTCCTCTTAATCACGTATCTGCCCACTCATGACCTTTTTCACAACTATCTGCCAATTTTATAGTTTTGGGCTCAACATGTCTCCCGATTTTGCCAAAATTAGAATTTAGAGTTAGTGTGTCATGCTCCTCGCTGCTAATGAATAATTTCTAGAAGTCACTGTGTAAATACTGGCTTCACACTGTATGTTCATAGCCAAGACTGCTGTCCTATTGTTCTTCTTCCAACAGGTGAAGGGCTTCACTGGCTATTTGTGGAAAATACTATAACCACCAAGTTTACCGTTCTCTGAATGCTTTCTCTTGAAAAGATCTTTGGCTTTTAAAAACTTTTAGCTGCCAAGACAGAGGGTGTCATAGACTGGGTGGCCTGCATACAATTACTTCTCATAGTTTTGGAAGTTGTTTGAGATTGGAGTATCAGCATGGCTAAACTCTTACGAGACTTCTCCTTTGGGTTATGGAAGGTCAGTCTCTCATTGTACCTTTGGACACAACAATAGAGGACAAGACAGCTTTCTGGAGTTCCTTTGCTATCGACACTAACCTCATTCATGAGAACTTTTCCCTCACGATCTATCAACCTCTCACAAGTTTCACCTTCCAAACGTTATGCCTAGTGTAGTACTTCAACACTGGAATTTGGAGAGAACATAAACATTAGCCCACTGCAGAGAAAAGTATCCATCATCGGTGCTGGGGATGGCTGAAACAGAGAACAGAGCGGAGGGTGGAGGTAACGGGGAGCCTGGCTTCTATCTCCTTTACGTAGCTCATCCTGCTGGGCTGTGCAGGTACTCTGTTTCGGAGCAACACGGTTCCCTTCAGTTCCTCAGCATGCCAAGGAGCATGACTGAAGGCTGTCATTTCTGACAGCTGGTTTCAACTCAGCAGAACACAATACTTTTTATATGTTTTCAAAATTGTTCATTCTTTCACATGTGGCTGTGCTGTGTGAGCATATGGCCTGCTGGTGAATTAATGACACAGGTTAGAATTCCTGCTCAGCTTAGCAAGTCATCACCATAGGCAACTGTGACCTTGATGAAACTGCCCTCTGCAGCAGAGTCTCCTTGTATTCCCAGACCCACCCCAAACTGCCCCAAACTGCCACTGTGGCCCCATCTCATTTGTTTTTTCCAGGAAAGAGTTCTTATACTTTGGGCCAATTCTGAGCACAGAAATGGCGCCACAAAATATTTAGATTTTGTGAGACAAACAACATAAATATTATTATTATTTAGCAACACTGGGGTTAAAATTTTAACAAAATATCCTTAGAACATAACAGATTATGCTACATTTATGAAACAATATATCTAGATCTGCAAACAAACTTGTAGAACACAACTAGTTTTTGGGACACAATCTGTATACCAGGAGAAACATAGTTCCAAGATTTACTTTTTGTATTATAAATAAAAACTTTGCTATCCATAGAAAGAATGGCTTAAGGGAGGGAATTCAGTCTTTCCATTTAAAAACTCACCATTCATTCATGACTGTGATTCTGATTTTTTAAATCCCAGTATTTGTACCTTGAAATTTAGTCTGTGATCTAAACACTTGCTTATCTTCAAATACAACTACTGATTTGATGTCAATGCTACAATTTTCCTCTTGGATATGCTTTCATTTTTTTTTCAAAAAAATTGTGTCAAAATATTCTTTGCTTTATAATATTCTTAGTTTGCTATTAGACTTTTAAAATGTAATGCATTAACATTTTAAAACAAAAATGCATCAAAATAGGCTTCAAAAAAGATGGACTTAGAGGCTGGGGATTTAGCTCAGCAGCGTAAGTGCCTGCCTTGCAAGCGCGCAGTCATGAGTTTGATCCCTGGTACTAATAAAAAAAAAAAAGATTAAAAAAAGATTGACTTAAATAGTTCCTTGCTAGATTGATACAGACAGAGCATCCCTAAACTGAATCTATGAAACTGGATGTATTATTTAGTTTTTCACCACTATGACAAAATACTGGAGAAAATCATCTTAAAGAAGAAAAGGTTTATTTTTGCTCAGTTTTAGAGGTTTTAGTCCATGGTAAACGGGCTCCACTGTTTATGACTGTGGTGAGGCAGAAATGTAACTGCAGGGAGGCGTGGTGGAGGAAGACTGTTCATCTCAGGGCAGCCAGGAAGCAGAGAGCAGGGAGGAAGGAGCCAGGGACCCGATGTAGTTCCTATGGTCACACCACCATTCCTCCCTTCCATCATGTTCTGATAAAGGCACCAAGTTATGATTTCATCAGTGGATTAACAGCGATGTGTCTTTTACTGAAGTAATTTTTAAAAAATTTAAACATTCCATGTACTTTCCAATTACCCCTTCTATTTCTGCATCTTGTACTTCCGGATTGAGCTTTTGACTCGTCTTAGCTGTAGACAATGCTGTAGAAGCAATGGCCGGGGTTAGTTCAGAGTCCAGGCTTCAGGATGTTTTATACACTTCTGCCCTCCCACTTGGCCCCCTCCCCCCACCAAAGACACAAGCCCAGGCCAGGCCTGGGGAGCGAGGCATCATGTAGAGCAGAGAAGACTGAATCTTTCTGGCTGGGACAGAAGCAGAGTGGCTGGAGCTCCTGGCCAGCTTGCAGCCATATGAACGATTTCCTTGAAGAATTGTCCAGGCAAATCACAAGGCTGTAAAAAGCCCTACACTCAGTTTTGGGATAGTTTGTTACACAGTAATAACTAACTGCTAATTCTCCTGATGCATCACTGCGGATAGAAAGCATTAACCTGGCTACTACAGCTGTAATGCAAATCCCAAACTTTCTGAATGCTGGTATGATGCCACCACTCTGGTGACTCAAAGTGCACCCTGTAGCTTGGATCTTGAATGTTACCGAAAAAAACTCACATGGTAAAGGCTTCATCTACTCCTATAGCACTATTAAGAGGTGGTAGAACCTATGGAGAGGGTAAAGCCTGGTAGGAGGAAGCTAGATCACTGGGGTAGTGTCATGAGGGTGATAGCGGGACCCCCAACTCATTCTTTTTGGTTTCTGGCCCCCAAGGACCTCCCGCTACCTCAAGTTCCTGCTATGTGTTCTGCCTCACCACAAGCCCAAAGCAAGGCAGCTTACTAAGCCATGAACCAAAACCTCTAAAACCATGAGCCAAAATAAACTTTTCCTCCTTATAATTTGTTCTTATGTATTTTGTTACAGCATTGTATATATCACTTCATGCATAAAGTTATTAAAAGTATTGTATGAAATTACTCTCATACTGTATGTGTAAGTACATATGAAACAAATGAATTTCATGCTTAACACAGGTCCCCTCCACAAACTGTCTCACAATACATGCAAATATTCCAAAATTGTAAAAAATCTGAAACACTTTTGGTCACAAACATTGTGGAGATATATATATTCCTGAGCTACTCTATAAATAGGGGCAGGCACCCACAGAGAGCAAGGTTAGGGAAGAGGTACCTGTAGAGTGAGACCGAGGAGGGAAGGCCAGAGAAGGCTGCCTTGAAGGGAAAGGTGAGCAGACTCATTGAAGTCACCCCCGTGTGGCTGGTGAGAGCAGGAAACTGAGGCAGTTCCCAGGGGTGTCCCAGTGTCTCAGCACAGCAGGGAAGAGGTCATGTCTGATGAGCAGTAGGCAGCACACAATGGGAGGAGGCCAGAGAAGGGCAGGAACAGGAATGGCGAAGGGAACAAGCTGAGCCTAAGAAACAGGATGACTAGAGGCATTAAGGCTCCCTTCAGACGAGGAGGAAACACCCTGCAGCACCGATCCAGACCCAAACTTTACACAGTGGACAGAGCTGAAGCCCACGGATAGACAGAAGCTGGAGGCACTGACGTCAGAGATTCGAGGTATTCATGTGGGTCCAGATAAGGAGAAGCAAGCAGGAAAGGGGGTGGAACACTGAAGTCTACGTGTAAAACTTCTGTCTCCACGATGTCCTTGGGTGGACAGAGACTGGGGCCCTGGAAGCGGCAGGGCAGATTTCTATGCTGAGAGGTGGAGAGGATGGAGTGAATTATGCTGAGTGACCCAAGATGTTAGTAAGTTCCAGGTCAACGCCTAAAGCACCATGGAGACAGAGGCCATTTGGCTTCGACCTGTGGGGCTGAGTGAAGGTCGGCTGGATGGAGGGCACTAACCAGACTGATCGCTTTCCCACACTGTGACAGAACGCTCAAGGGAACGTTTACTTGGGGTCATAATTTTGGGAATTTCGGTCCACACTGCTTGCCTTTGTTATCTCTGGGCCTGTGCAAGGCAGCACATCATGGTGGGACAAGCTGCACAAATCATGACTGTGAGGGAGCAGAGAGAGAAAGCGGAAGGGGTCAGGTCTCAATGTGCTTTCTGAGGCCACACCCCCAAAGTCCTACTTCCACAAGGCTACACCTCTTCAAGATTCTGAAACTTCCCTAAAGCCCTCGGGATGAGCACTGTCTTTAACACATGGGCTTTGAGTGGACATGCCAGGTCTACAGGATAGGATGGGCGAGGTGGGCGTGGCTAAGGATTGGACCCCAGGATGTGAGAGGATAGCCATGGGATAAACAGCAACATTAACCTGCCAGAGAACATGGTTTGGAATGAACAGGGATACCGTCCATTAGGATGACTGAAGAATTTCTGGGTGGAGATGCAGAGTAGATAGGTTCAGATCAGTGAGTCCCTGGAACACATGGGAACAACGCAGATGATTACTACTGGGAAGTCAGCCTCTCTCATCTGAAAGCAAGGGATCGACTGGTTTTTGTTGGCTTAACGGAGGCTAGGATTGCCCATTCGTGTCAGCTACATATTAAATGACATAGGAATCATGTTAAAAACTTACTAAAGGGAGCCAGGCAGGATGGTCATGCCTATAATTCCAGCACCCTGGGAGACTGAGATAGGAGAACTATAAGTCTGAACTCAGTCTGGGAAACTTAGATACTTAGTTGTCTCAAAACGAAAAGCCAGTAAATATGTTCTGCTTCTCTCTGTCTTTTGGTAAAGGGGTGTTGGCTGTGAACCTTATGATGGGTGAGAAAAGGGATCTTACTTTTTTGTGCAAATAATGAAAGGATGAATAGCAAGAAAGAAGGCAAAGTCATAGGATTTCTCCAATCACAACTCTGTCCCATTGTGGGTGGGACTGGTCCAAATTACAGGCGCTTGTAGTTAATGGTCCCCCATTCATGAAATTTACACACATACTGTCTTAGTTACTTTTTACTCATCGCTGAGACAAAATACCTGATTCTCAAAGCTGGGAAAGGAAAGGTTTATTTCTTGGAGGTTTCAGTCCATGCTCAGTTGGCTCCAAGGCAGGGTGGCATGGCAGGCGCAGTTCATGGTGGTTGCAAACTGACAAGGCGGAAACTGGCAAGAGAGCAAGACACACCTTCTTCCTGCCATTACAATACATCCTGGCTCCACCCCTAGGCGGGGTTTAGCACTCACACCACCAATCAAAGCGCGAGACAGTGAACCAATCACAATGCACAATGCAAGTCCATGGGGGGGGCACTGACATAAATCATGACATACATACAGACACATAACTCTGGAGACCATATAATCCCTGGGACTCCGTAGAAAAGAAGTGTGAAGCAGCTCACAGGCACATCTCCGTATCTGGTGCTTTGGAGCTTCCTGTATAAAACCTGCTCTGCAGAGCAGAGACGAGGGCACAAAAAAGGCACAGACTGCTTGCATAAATACACTCTGACAGGGCAGCACGACAGAATCAACAGTTCAAGAATAAACGGAAAACAGGAGTGAGATGGCCCACCATAGATCCAGTGAGAATTAGACAGGAATTGGGGGAAAACAGGGAGAAGACAGATTTTAAAAACAAAGTGGTTTCTACTTGACTAGACAGTAATTAAGTTCTCAGCTGCAAAAGGCACAGAAGTCTGAAAACAGTCTGGATCTGGAATCCCTGCCTCTCAAAGGCCAGTGTTAAAATCTTGGTCCCCAGCCCACACTGCTACTGGGAAGTGACAGAACATGTGGGTGGGCAGTGGGAGGGTTCTGGTCACTAAGGGCTTGACCTGGAAAGGGACTGTGGGGTCCTGGTCTTCTTTCCCTGTGCTTCCTGGCTGCCATGAGATGAGCAGTTTGCTCTACTTCGAGCTCCCACCACAGTGTGCTACCTCATCCCCGGCCTGGGAGGACTGGGGCTGAACTGTCTAAACCATGAGCCTCTAAACCTCTAACCTCTAAGCCAAACCAAGTCCTCTAACCATGGACTGAAGCCTCTAAAACTGGGAGCAGATATGAACCTTTTCTCTCTCTCTTTTTTTTTTTTTTTTTGTCTTTTTCATTTTTATCAGTACTGGGGATCGAACTCACGACTGCCTGCTTGCAAGGCAGGTGCTTATGCCGCTGAGCTCAATCCCCAGCCCCTGAACCTTTTCTCTTTATAAACTGATTCTCTAAAGTGTTTTGTCACAGTAACAGAAAACCACCATTGAGCCCTAAGAAGAATTTGTACGTATTAAGGAACCATATGCTATAGAACAGCTACCCAGCCTGAGATAAGCCGAATGGTCCGAGGAAAGTGTTAGGATCTTTACTTCACTATTTCAGTTGGTCCAATCATCCTCCATTCCTTATGCTCCTACACCACACAGTTTGGAATCTGGGCACAAAGGAGTTAATGAGAGTAAAATCTGTAATAAATTAAAGACTTTATAAAAAAAGAAACTCAGATGGGTTGAAGCACCATCTTGCATGCTCAAGATATCTCAAGACTTGCTAATGGAACCCCTGTAATAAGACATTAGTTTATCAACACCCCATATTTACCAAATTTGCTAAAATGTCCAAGGAAAATATGATGAAGTCAAAGCAGGAGGCTTCTGTAAAAAGCCTGTCAGGTTGTAAGGGCACCCAGGTTAGTGACACCGATTTATTATCGTGCCTTGTGTTGTCTTTCAGAGTGATGGCCTTCTTTTCCCTTGATTCACAGGCATTCCGATCACTGGACCTGGGAACTTTAATCTGCATTTGCAACAATGAAAATTTTGCTGGACTTGTGCCACAGTGGACAGAACGGGATTGAGTTCACTCTGTAATGAAACTACTGAGAAACGATAGCTTATTACTTTTATGGTCTGCTCTGCATGTCTGATAATTCTATTAAAGGAGCTACTCATCACTATCTTTTTTTCTGAGATGAAAGAAAGACTATCTCACAGATTATAACTGCCAAACATACGCGTGAATGATTTATGTGTAACAGATACTAAATGTATGTTTAATGCTCCAGATGCCAAAAATTATCATCCAAAGTGAAAAACCCATAGAACTCAGGGAAGTAAGATATTTGAAAATACAACTGCTGTGAAACTTGGGAAATTTACTACCTGATTTGCACACAGGTAGCTCCCTTTGACAGTCATTGTTCTGAAGCACAATGAAACAAAAGAACTTTCGAGAGGTGACCTGTTAATGAAACAGTCCAGCTCCAAACCCCAAGATGCCAGAATCAGTATGTTTTTCCTGAATAATATTGTGCAGGGTTTTAAAAATTAGTTTCTTTATATCCTGCTCATATCAAAGGAAGAAAACCATAGGAAGAACCATACAGAAAAGGTCTGCTTAAAAACGCGGTCTGGAGAATTCCCACAAATTTACTTACTAATTAGCACCCAGGACATTAGAACCCACTCTCTGCGAACACAGGCAAAGTGCTGCACAATCGCTACACAATGCACGTGTGCAACACCACTTGAGGAACAGTTGTGTCATAGACATACTGATTTTACTAATTTTATAAAACGAATGTTTGATAATGACTTAAAAATCAGTGATTTCCTCACTCTGATGTAACCGGGTATGCAAATATATAACTATCAATCAGCGCTACCCTTGTGAGCACTGAAGACAAGAAATGAGGTTCCTCAAGCTGGAGTCGCTGGACCATGCTAGGTGGCACCTGCGTTTTTTTGGGCAGTTGAGGATCTAACGTGCCCAAAGCAAATCTTTCAAAACCTTACATCGGGTGCCCAAGCTGCTTACTGAATGTTTTAGCAGCGCTCCCCAGAAACCTAAGTTTAAACTGTTTGTAACAAAATCGATTTACAGAGAATAAATTCCCTCCCTCCTCCCCAACGCCAAGAAGTTGGGAAAACCTTGCTTCGGAGCGCGGATCAGTTTACAGCGTCAGAGTGCGGACAGACCAGCAAAGCGAGCCACCTCCCGACAGAGGGAGGGACAGAGGCCGGCCGGGACGGGTGGAGGCGGCTGGAGGACCGGGCGGCACCCCCGGAGGCCGGCGGGGTGGCGGGGTGGCGCCCTGGGGGAGAGGTGAGGGGTCGGCGAGGACGACGGCGAGGCGCGGGGTTAGGAAGGGGCAGAGAAACAGCACCGGGAACATGAGGCCAAGGGCTTGTGCTTTACCTGCTGCACCTGCTGGGGTCCGGGAGCGGGAAGCGTCACCGCGGTCCCCTTCATTCCGGGCGCGAGGACACCCTGATCTCCACTCCGGACAGCGGGGGCTGCAGCTCAGTCCGCTTCCTCGGTGCCGAGCGACGACTCCGCTCCGCGGCGCAGGGGGTCGGGATCTGGGGCGCCCGGCGCTTGTCGGGTCACCACGCCCCACGCGAGCCCGTGTGCCGCCGGCAGGACGCGCGCCCCGCACCCCGGCCCAGCCCGGCCCGCGCCCCTCCGCGCGCCCCACGACATCGCGCCCGGAGACGCCCCGGCCCTCTGGCGGCCGCCTCGCCCCTGCCGGGTCGCGAGCTCCCAGCGCCTGCCCAGCGCTCTGCGCCCCCGCGCGCTCGGCCCCACGACCCGCGCAGCACCCGCCGGGCGCCCCGACTTCCTCTCACGCCCTCACCGTCGCCCCTACAACCCCGCGCTCCGCCCCCCGCGCCACGCTCCACGCCCCTCGCGGTCGTGAGCGGGTCCCGGCGGGGGCGCCCCTCGCAGAGCCGCCCCACGCGCGCGGGCTCTTCCGGCTGCGCGTCCCTCCGGCCGCTGCCTGGGGTGCCGCGGCGAGGGGCCCTGCCTGGCCTCCTTGGGTGTGCGGGGTGGGCGCCCCCTGAGGGAGTCCCACGGAACAGCGTGGTGTCGCCGCCCGGCTCCCGCAGAGCCAGGCCCGGCCGCCACCGGGCGGCTCCACGCGGGCTTCTGCAAACTCCCGGCCCGAGAGGTGGCGCTGAGGACCCGCCCCGGAGTGGGCTCCGGAGGGTGAGTGCCTGGGAGGCCTGAGCATGGAGGCTGTGATTTGCTATGCAGACGTGCTTACCGGCAGGTGGCTTCCCAGTGGGTGCTTCTGTGTCCAAAGGGCCCTTGTTAGCTGGATTGCACAGTGCCTCCCTCTCCGGAGAGCGCCTTGGTCCCGCAGCTCTGTGTGAATAGCATGGGTGTTAGAAGATGCCCCATGAGCCTGTGGAGGAGCAGATTACCAATTAGCGTGTCAGTGTAGTTTCTGATTTTCAAAAGAAAATGCAATTGCATTTGGAACTATCATTGCTGAGGGCTTTTAAAATGTTTTTCATGTAACGAAACGGAAAATTACACAGCAGAAACATAAGTTTTGGATTACAGTTTTTTAAAACTGCAAACTTTTTCAAAGGCAGAAATTTTAAAAAGGGGAAAATCAATTTCCCAGAAAAGTCCAATATAGCACTTCATTAAATAGGCATATCGGACAGATGATAGTGAAAATCATTCTTCAAAAATATTGCTATTTAAACAAAGGTTAAATGAGAAGGATGGAGAGAGATGTTATTAAGGGTATGTATTAAAATGTGCATATTTCATAGCATAGTGACAAGAATTGTGAATGATTACACTAAAAATGCCCATACTAACTGGGAAAAGTTGAAATTTATGTATGTCTGCCAAAGAATTTAAAAGCAAAGTGCTTTTTTTGTGTGTGCTAATCTTTTTATCATCTGTTACAACTTTGCAGGTGCCTTCTTTCTGGCGAAACTGTAAACCTTTTACATCTTTTCGCTCCTCTATTTGGCTGATTTTTACTGTAAATTTGGCTAAGTATATCTAGAAGTATCATGATACGGTTTGAACATTGTGCTGTCTTGGAATTTCCTCTGCTAGATCAGTTAGTTTGCTGCCTTTAAATTACACATCATGCAAAGTCTCAGAACACAGACCAAACATACACAAAGTCTTTGCCAGAGTAGAACACCATTCCGCGTAGTCTAATTTCTGACAGAATCTTCATTCCCCCCCGAAGTGAAATTTCATGAGCCTGGCCTTTGGGGTCCCCACTGCTATCAGAATTCTGGTCTTCAGAACCTCCACCAGATCCTCCCATTTAGCTCTGCTTACAGCCTTCTGAATCTCCTCTAGGTAGCGTCTCCAAAACTTTCCACGTTTCTCCTGCAAACCAGTTTCAAAAGCTTCTAAACCAAAGGGATAAGCATAGTCATAGCAGTGATCCACTCCTGGTACTAGTTTCTGTATTGTCATTTTCCTGTTATTGGGGTGAATACCTGGCACCCATAATTTTAAAGAGGAGTGGTTTAGTTGGACTCACAATTTCAGGGTGATCAGTTCGTGTTTGCTGCCTCCATGGCAGAAACAGCATGGTGAAATGACCTGGTGGAGGAAAGTTGCTCACTCTATGGCAGCGAAAATGCAGAGAGCAAAGGAAGGAGTGGGGACAAGATACAGCCTTCCAGATCATTCCAGATCGTTCCCCCCAGGAACCCACTTCCAAGCAGGCCCCAACTCCTGGCAGCATATTCATTCAGCCACTCTCCGTGGATGAGTCCACCGATGAGTACAGCCATGATCTAATCACTTTTCAGAAGCTCTAAGTCTAAACACATGAGACTTTTCAGAAATATTTCAGCCCTAAACTGTAAAAACTGGCTTCCTTTTACTTTCTTTCTGTCCTATTATGCCTGGACTCTTATGCTTCTTCAGCAGCCACATCAGTTTAAATACCTCGTTCTTAAGCCCTATTACAGGACGCAGACTCACAAGGCTGGGTTGTTTTGTGCAGGATCGTGGAACTTAATACATACAAATTCAAGAGCTTCTTGTACAATTTGACTGTAACCTTCTGATGGTCCAGGTTACAGAATCATCAGAAGAGGTAATATCTTTTGGTATTCGTGCCCTGGGCCAGTGAGAATGACCAGACTTTAGCTCACTCCAGCAAATTAAGAAAAACTCTCTGTACCCTTTGTTCTGTGAGCAGCATCTTAGTTATTCTCTGGAACATTTGTTGGCTCCCTTCAGCCAAAACTCTTAATTTGGTTGAAACTTCCTCCATCCCACAAAACTGTCTGTCCAAGAGGAGTGTGTATACTTGCCATATTTGGTATGATATGATTTCTGCTGTCTTAGAGTCAAATGATCCATCCCACCATCCATGTCAATAGGATGAGAGTCTGTGTTGCAAGAAACAAGCTGCAAAGCCACAGGCTATTGTCCTGGTGATACGCAGCAGTGTCACTCTGAGGAAGCAGGCTATTATCTCTGTCTCTAGTTATGAAGCAGTGGGATAAAGGCTTTGCCTGGGGGAGAAGAGACAGTAAAAATAGACAACTTTATACCTCTTGCTAAGGGGAGATTGTATTCAGAGTTTCATGCATGAGGGTGCCATCTAGAACAGTGAAAGCTTGGTGGAAAGCTATTAAGAGGAGTTGCGTGAAAGCAAAAAGCTAAAGGATATACCAGCTAGAAATTTAACAGAAAAGCAGGGACAAAGGCATAAAAAAGTAGTCCTCATATGGTTGGAAGAAACCTCAAAGGGTCATCTCAAAGCCTATCCAGAAAAGAGGCTGGACTGTAATGGAATCCAACCAACCGTGGAAGAGTTGTCAAAGGTAATAGTGGAGCAATTGGCTAATAATTAGCAAGATCTAAGATCTGCATGTAAGAGAAGCGGATCAGCCAGATGCCTAACAGGGGTATTACGGCAAGAGGCAATTAAAAAGAACCCTGCAAAAGCACAGTTATCTGAGGGAGAGAGGGGAGAAAGATTGCCGCGCATCCAAGTTGCAATACAAAAGTAGTACTCATCAACGTAAGAGGAGTATGCTGCATGCAAAGGAGGAAACGGCATCTGTGAAAACGTCCAGCCAATTCACTAAACAGGAATGAGAACAAAAAAGTGATGGTGGAATCTGGGGAGAAGGAGTCAGGATCCAGGGTTAGTGGTATATAAAATATCCAGTGTTCAACAAACTTATATGGACTATAAAAACAAAATTCAAACCTCAAACCAAACTTTTGGAATTAAGCAGGGAAGAGTACTATATAATCCATCCTGCTTGGACCAGTAAAATCTCTATTTTCTGATATAACATGATCTTGAATAGAGAGAGTCCTGAGAAATCCATTAAAACGTCTAACAACTAATAAATAAGGTCAGCATGAATACTATATCAATGTGAAACTCAACTATATTTCATATACTTATAATGATCTGCAATGAAATTAAGAAAATAATCTTTTATAATAGCATAAAAGTTACTCTGGAATTTAGCAAATAACTATGAAACTTATTTCCAAAAAATCACAAAGCAATGTTGAAAGAAATTTTAAAAGACCTATGTGAAATGAAAAAATTGCTGTATTTATGCTTTTTTGGTAGAAATTGATAGGCTGATTTATCAGCCAGTTGTATGTGTCTCCTCTTCTGCTCAATATTGTTAACTGTCGAGCGTAGCAAATCAATTTACAATGAGATAACATCCCATCCTCGTTATAGGGGCTTCTTTCAAAAACAAACAGTGAAACAACCCACACCCCCAACCCAAAATAACAAACGCTGGTGAGGCAGAAGGGGAAAAGAAACCTTTGTGTACCGTTGGTGGAAATTTTAATTATTACAGCCACTATAGAAAGCAGTATGGAGGTTCTTGAAAAAAGAAAAAAAAAACCATTATATGATACAGCAATTCCACTACTGTGTGTATATTCAAGGTAATGAAATCAGGATACAGAAGAGGTACTCGAACCCCATGCCAACTGCAGAGAGGTATCTATATTATTTAAAATATTTGATCTCTCTTTTATATTAATTTTTCTCTAGATACTTCATATGAGAAGACACATGATATTTGATTTTCTGGCTCTTGCGGCGTATTCCACTGAATATGATCCAGTTCCATCCATTTTCCTGCAAATGACATGATTTTGTTCTTCTCCCTGGCTGAATGGGATTCCATTGTGTATATTTATTGTATTTTGTTATCCATCTGTTGATGTGCACTGAGGCTGTTTCCATAGCTTAACTATTGTGAATTGTGTTGTAATAAATATGGGTAAGTGGTTTCCCTATAGTATGCTAATCCTTTAGGTGTTTGAGGTGTAACATCAGGCTATTTGTGTTCCTTCTGTTTTCCTGATGTGGGAATTCAATGCAGTAAGTTTCCCTCTGAGGACTGCTTTCATTGCATCCCACAGGTTCCAGTAAGTTGTATTTGTATTTTCATTTGCTTGTAGATATTGTTTAATTTCTTCTTTAATTCCTCTGTGACTCATTGATTGCTCAGGAGTGTATTATTTAATTTCCATGTGTTTATGGAGTTTTTGAAGTTTCTTTTGTCATTAATTTCTAGTTTCATGGCACTATGATCAGATAATATGCAATATAATTTCAATTCTTTTGCATTTACTTAAGCTTATTCTATGGGCTA